GTTGCCAACACAGACGTCGCTGTTACGTTTCGGTGCGGAGAAAGGGGGACGGGTAGCCAACTTGGAAATTTTCATGTTGCACATGATCGGATTTCATTAGGACGAATGTCATGTCCTCGTTGTAGTGAAAATTTTTCTTACCCCGTTCAATCAAAAGCGATGCGGAGTGCAGCATTAGCATTACGCCTGGATCGAATAAGTGTGTGTCCACACTCTTCCGTCCTTTCGATATCAACTCAGTTCTAACGAGATCTTCGCCTACTGTTGGAGGTCGTCCTGGCGGTCGCTTGTCGTCAGGCTTTTTGTTCAGCATTCGCTTCACAAGGCAGTGGATCCATTTTAGATATGCGGCTTCATTAACTGTTGCTATGGCTGAATCCGTTCAGAATGCTAACTCCGTAAATCCGCAGTTTATCTTGTCTATATTTTGTCCTTTTAAACTTTCAGTAATTTGTTGCTTACTTCTAGTACCAGCGCATGGCTCCTCTTAACTTCGTTTGTCACTCGTCTGTCTGCAGCATATGTATTCCTAAAATACAGATGTTCTATTGTTTGTTCCATAACTTCGGTGTCGAGTGGCTGACAGATATTGGTCTGAGTTTTCTGGCAAAAAATATGTATAAATTTATCAGAAAAAACATGATTTATCAGTAAAGTTCATGAACTCGAAGTTTGTTAGTTCAGAATAAGTGCGCTACATTCGAAAGTGTTATTCTTCTGAAAGTATGTTAGAAATTTGAACGCAGTAGTTACTTTCTTTTGTCACCGGTTGCTGTTCCATGGAAAGATCTTCAGTTTGGATGAGGAACGATTTCTAAGAGACTGGCAGAGATCCTGAGTTGAGGCGCCTTTTCTGATCATCATATTTGGATTCAGTAATACGCTGAATATGTTAATTGCGTAAGCAAATTATGATAAAACTGTTATATTCTGAGTTTGTTAACGAAAGCTTGTTTTCCATACTACCAGTCTGCTTAAGGTACGTGAATCGTTTCTTCGAATTCACACGACGTAATCCGACTGCTTTCTTTCTTCTAAAGGAGTTTTTAACCAGTCACGGCTCCATGGCATTTTAACACAACTATAGCACTTGCTATATGCTCATCACAGTGATGCAGTTTTTTATTCATGCACACTGAATGCTCTAACATCATGCAGCTGTGGCCTCCTTACAGGGTCACCTAAGTTGTAAAAGCCACAGAATAATGAGATTAAGCCGACTAAAGCCGGAGAAGCGACTGGTAACCATTTGTTGTCTACTGAGTCATTAATTTACAGTTACGGGTAATGAGAAAGGGTTAAGTTAGTGTATTCATATGTATTGTTTTTTTTCGCGAAATTATTTAGGCATTGCTTTAATTAATGTCTTGTTATTTGCAGCTGTCGTACCGTCTGGAAGATTCCACCTCACCAGCGCTAATGGAGAGCTGCACCTCGGTGGTATAATGTCGCAAGGCACCGCTCACACACTACTTCAGTACGCTGAAGCTCAGGAGGGCAATGGACAAATTTTGTTACCCCGTAAGGAGATGTTTTTCGTTGAAATATTGTCTTAATAGATTATGATTTTGTGTATCATGTATTTGTCACTTGGTTTATTTTCGATTTGTATGTAATATGCACATGTTATGAAGGAGAGACGATTGTTGGCGATAATCTTTTTGGGTCAGTAGTCAGCCAACCATATCGCTGAGAAGCATGACGTACATTAATCGCTTAACCGGCTGATAATCCTGGTCGTTCCGCATCAGTTGTTAGTTTTTACCAGGACTGACGGATCATCATGAGAATTGCGTTGTTTACCGCGCTTTTAAGCAACGCGTGCAGAATTCATTTCCACCGCCCTGGTGCTGCGTATTCTTATTGAATTTACGAACGTTATTGCTTATTAATAATAATGAAAATAATCTAGTGAAGAGAAACATAATTCCAAGTTGTGATCACATTAACGTTGTGATTGTGATGCGTCGTGTCTGAACCGAGAGTGACATTTGTAATTATCATTGAGCACGGTGATGATCAAAGTCACTTGAGACTAGTCGCCTTCATTGTCACTCAAAGCTGGACAAAGCTTGGCCACGTGGTACTTCCACCGCCGGGTTGGATGAGGTCAGGTCAGGTCATTACCCGGACTTTAAGGCACAATTGGAGTCGTATGGTTTGCTTTGCGGTGCAGTCAATATCTGCCGATTGTCTGACGGATAAACAGTTCTTATTGTGGCAGCGATTATTGTAGTGAGCATTTGCATGATGATTGTGATAGCTTTTATTTTGCTGGTCATTAATATGATGATTTTAATTGTCATGGTGAGGGCGATGGCTGTTGTCTTGAGCATGGTAATTGTTATGGTAATAATTTTAAGGCTCATACCGATGCATGCCGTTGATAACTTGAAGGTGAGAGGTCTTCTGATTTTATTTTTGGCAGCACGAGAAATGAGGGAAATTGCCTTATTTACAAGAATACCAACGTTTCGACCGAATTAGCATCGGTCATCATCAGGAAGTGAACAAGAAAAACAAATCTTTTGGTCAGTTTGTGTTTCACTAAACTGGTGAGGCGCTTGGCTGGTCACCATTTAAGCAATGAAACATGTTCCGTGCCGCGTAAATGTTGACGGAGCTGATGCAGCCGTTACAAGTTATGTTTTTTTTGGTTGTGATGTGAAGCTACTCTTTGATCGGCGGCTTTTTTCTGTCGCGGTATCGTTCCACGATCGTCACGTCACTGTTTTTAAATTCATGACCGTTCTCCAGGGGTTGGGCGACAAAATCAACATCACGCGTCAGCGATGAATGGTTCTTCTGGTTTAATGGTCGCGTTAATCTGGTTTTTAACACACGACGGGTCTTGCCAGTACATATCCGGTGTCACAGCGGTTGCAAGCTATTTGATAGCCACCGTTTTACTCTCCAAGTTGGGTTGAAGATGAAACTTCGTGTACAACAATATTTATAAGGTTTTACCCCTGCAAGGAAAATACGGTAAGACCGTACCTTTGAAATATCGTCTAGTTTCCTCGGACGTGCGTGATATGTAAGATATCAAGGTAAATAAATTACAATCAGTAGAAGGGAACAACTTGGGGCGTTTATATACAGAATCATTTAATTATTTGGCATATCCGCTTTTAGGGAATGATTATGCTTGATTTCACCACTGAGCAGTAGGTCATCTCCGCAATAACTTAGAGCCCTTGGACGCATGCATTTCGTAAAATTGATGTAAACGAGTTTATGAGTAGCAGATGAAATGATCGATTGATGAAGTGTTTAGGAGTCGATTGCTGTGGTTTTCTACATATTAATAGTGTGTGTAACTTTGGCATCGCCTACTGATAATTATTACAATGATTATTATAATGATGGTGATCACGATGGTAATCATAAAGATGATTCTGTTGACGATGATGAAAACCATGAAGCAGCAATTCATGCCGGTGGCGATGATGAGAAAAACGTCTTGATTGATTGGCGGCAATGATTGGGATGCTGATAATGATAAAGGCGAAGTACATTATGCTGATCATGAGAATGATTGTGCAACAGGTCAAGGTTGTCACTGATAATAACGATAAACATGGTGATGGTGGTGAAGACGATGTTGCGACGATGAGGATCATGACGGAACATCAGACTTTGAATTTGCGACTAGACCTGTAGCAGTCTGCTTTGTATAATTGGTGTTTAACAAGAAAGTTTCCAGGAAAAGCCACGTGAGCTTATCTCGTGCTTGCTGCCTTTAACAGCTAAAGCACGTTAAGCCCCTTAAGATTAAACAATATATTTTTGTAGCCTGAGCTACAGAGGCACGAGCACCTAATTACGTTCTTGGTAACTGTTGTAATGCTATATCTTTGTCGTTAAAGAAATTTTTGCGATTATCGAAATGCTGTACTTACCTGACGTTTTGGACTTGTGTTCAGTGAAAGTTGTTACTTACTGGTTGTTCTAACTTTGTGTACTCTCAGTAACTAATGTCATCCTCTGTTCGGGAAGATGGCGACATGATATACAACTTTAGGCAACGTTTTTGCACAGCCATTTCGCGGTGCTGAACATCCAAGTGGCACGAATGATGCTATTTTCTCTACATTTCCTGATTTCGTTCATGCGACGTCGTCTGGAACTTCTTTCGGTACAGCTGATGATCTGTCGTCATCCTCTGTTCAGAGGATAGACGTGATGAAAGTTTCAAAATGGCTTGTTTCCGTATAATGTGAATACTGACCTAAAATTCTTTTTAATATATGTATTTGTTGTAAAGTTGTAATTGATGTGGCTACAGAATGATTGTAGTATAAACCGAGATGACTGTTAGCATGTACTTAATCTGCACGGACGGAATCCTTTGAGGACCACTTGATGAAGAACTGTCCTTATGCCTTAAGTTGGCTAACATACCGGGTTCATCTGATTTGTAAGAGAGCAAATCCACAGTTTTACTTCCGTGTCGAAGTCGGTAGATCTTATTCGCTAAGGTACAAGTCCGTGTTTCGCGCTAATCTTCGATAGCCTTGCTGTTTTCGATGAAGGTCGCTGCTGGGAAGACTGAACCGAAGACGTGGTCTCATTTGAGATGAATAGCAGCGCCCTTATCTAGTGTATTAGTTGTCGCTGCTTGAGCATGTCTCTAGTGGCTTTAGCAATGGCCAAACAGGTATTACTAACTACTTTTTTGATACCCACTGTTTATAGCAGACTATCCATATCATGCCCTCACTGATAGTATAGACAAGAAGATATTTTTTGTCCGGTGATAGAGAAAATTGGTAAATTTTTTTTAACGGTTTCTAATTTTGATTGATTGTCTTATTAATAATTATTTTGTCTGATTATGTGTTGCGTGAATAACATATTTCATTACGTTTTTGTGCTTATGCTGTAATAAATGAACTAGTAGCCAGTTCGATGTTGATGGATTTTGTTTTTATAGTAGGTGCTGACTTGCTTGGTCTCAAGCCAGTATCTGCGTCATCGTTAGCTGCAGCGGCGGCGGCAAGATCTGCTGGTAGCCATTGTTTAGTCAATCAGGGATCGTTATCTGTATTTTCTTCACCAGATATCAATTCAAATTCTCCTTCTAAGTTGTCATCGACGACTCCCAATCCTACTGTGATGGAAGAAGCTGCCAGAAAGCGCGAACTTCGGTTGCTGAAAAACAGGTGAGCAGTTTTGACTTTAATTAATGTTAGTGACCGGAGGCGCACTGTTCAATTTTTTGTTATGTCGTATTTATGTTTTGTTGGTATTTTTTAGGGAGGCTGCCAAAGAATGCCGCCGTAAAAAAAAGGAGTACGTGAAATGCCTGGAGAACCGCGTTGCCGTTTTAGAGACTCAAAACAAGCAGCTCATTGAGGAACTGAAAACGTTGAAAGAGTTGTACTGTCGGAAGGCCGACTAAATGACGGACGTGCGTACGCCCGTAATGATCGAACGATGGACAGTCGATCGAACGGAAATCGGCAGAAGAAAGACGGACTACTGACGACGGACGAATGCATCCGAACTTTGTTGTTTTGCTTTTGACGAGACATTTACGGTGTGTAGAAAGAAGCCGAATCCGAAGCGTGGTTCCCGGTCTTTTTCCCATTTCCCGGTCGCTTTCCGTCAGCGCTTATTTCACGCCGGTGCTTTATTGAACCCAGTGATTGTCGTCGGTTAGTCGGTCGGTCGGTCACTGGACTGGCTGTTGTTATTGTTGTTGACGTTGGGTTTACGTGATGACCAGCGCACCTCGTCCGCTGGAGGAAGGAACTCAACGGTCAGCAGATCGGTCGATCACTCGGTCCTGACCGCGGACGATCGGTGATTTTGGCTTTTCTTGCGCCATTAGGCCTGTAGAGCGTTACCCATCCACCGAAAAACCAGCAGCTTTCGATTATGGGTCACGCCTGCCGTCGGCCTTCCATCTTTCGGTCATCAAATCTGTTGCTGTCTTCGGCGGTGTGTGATGCGCAGGTGTCAGTCATAAATGATAGTCGACGGATCGTTTTCTTAACGGGTTTTAGACGACGGCGACGAATCCGTACATCAGTCGTGCACCCTCTTGTCTACTTGTGCTTGTGCTGCTGCAATTCAGGTCCGACCGTAAATCAGTTTCATGCGCAGGGAAGATGCGGTGTACGTGGTTACACGATATCACGTTTTCAGTTTCTTGCACATGTTTATTTTTGTGATCGATCGTTTGAAGAATACAGTTTTATATTGTGTACTTTATTTACGGGACTGTAAATTCAGGTTTTACTGCTATTATTTTTATTCTTATTATTATTATTATTTACTTGAAGAGTTTTACCGGCGTGCGTTATGCTTGGTTTGTGTGTTGCTGTTGCAGTCCACTTAATCGTTCGTTCATTCGTTTCACAGATGTATGTGCTGCTGCTGAATGTAGTTCTTTCTAGTATGGCTTTTACCACAGATTCGCTCGTGTTTCTGACGGTCTGTTCTAGTTTCTCGTTTGTTAAATACTATCTGTCATAAATGACCGTGATAGCAATGACTGACTGACCACGAATGACCGTTAGACACCATCAGCGTTCATATTTGCTTCTGACCGGAAACAGTGCCTACTAAAGCTGTTATCTGACGGAGCCGATGCTTCTGAACAGCAGTAAATTATCCAATACCCTAAGAACTGAATGGTTTTTTCCCGTGAAACACAGATAGCCGAGCTTTTACATGTAGATGAAAAACCGAAGCAGCAATTTATCAGTAAACGCATTCTGGGGACATTGGTTTCCCTCTATGATTGTAAGGGGTAGCATTTGACCTCTGTTTCATGAACCTTATAGTGAAAGTGAAACTTTACTACCCTAACAAGATCACCAAAGTATCTTGTTTTCAGCGTAGATCAGAAAACAAACGTCGTTATAAATCAAGTATATTAATAGCAGTAAGAAAAAAGTAAACCATGAAACTAGGAACAAAACGGCCGAAATTGCTTTACTGCGCAGTCGATGTAAAGCAAAGGAGCCGGTAACGTTTACCTTTAGATTTTTTCGTCAGGGGCGGTAATCATTTCTCTGCCATCAATCAAGATGCATTTTTTAAAAGGCAAGATATATTACGAGGCAGGCATCGAGTGTAAAGAACCTGTGATTGAAACACGTATGCAGAGATAGTATTGCTAGCGCACCGCTGTACGGTTTCTCAACTCAAAAAATAAGCACTGTAGGTAGCAGATGGCAGAGATTTCTTTTATTGTCCTGTCATGGATGCAGAGGGATTAGGCGTTCGCTTTAAAGCCAAAAGGTAAAAATTGGCTATTCAACTGTGGTGAACAGATACTGTGCGTTGAATTGCAGCCCTATTTTGTATAAGTGTTTAAATACTACCATTAAGTGTCAACTCATCTTCGAATGGTTAACGATATTGCCTCCCAGCAAGTAAGTCCATTTAAGTAAGAACGTACTGCATTGCCATTCCGAAATTCGACATTAAATTAAGACGATTTTTATTCGTGTAGACAAGGAAATCAAGCAACATCCGTACGTTAATGCTTTGGGCAACTCTAGTCACATTCACATCAGAGACGCATTTCTTCTGGAGACGAAGAGCCACCGCCTGAAATGCTGTTTTTATAGTAGCTACTGTTTATTGTTCTTATCGTTCATAGTCCTTTTATACTCTGTCTCCCGGCGACAGGGCAAAAGTAGAGCAGCTAAATCGCTGTAATATGTGAAATGCTTGTGAATCAGGGGCCACCACTGGCTTCCAGCAACAATCGCTTCCATGTTACCGGCTGTTTACAGTAGTGTGGTGGCTCAACGCGCAAAAGGTCGGCTTTGAACTCCGTAGGTATACCATATTTGATTCCAGCGGATTGTAATCACTGATTTAACCATGAATTCCACTGAGCGAGAAATTTTCTTCACGCTGCTTCAAACCGGGGTTGCTCGTCGGTAGAGCGTCAGTTCCCGAATTTGACCCTCTGGTCAGTCACGCCTTTTTTCACTCTGAGGTTTATAAATCTGTATCAGTCTGTGGGAATATAATAAAACACTACATGTTTGCTACGTAGTATTTATTCTGCCTTTAAAAAGGCACTCTTGGCTGATGAAACGGAAATGGAGACCTACATTCAAACGTTACAAATTTCTCTTTCCCCCAGTCATAATTTTATAATAATCTATCAGGGCCTAATAGATGTGTTCAAAATTCCACCGACGTCGCTGTGTGTGTGTGTGTGTGTGTGTGTGTGTGTGTGTGTGTGTGTGTGTGTGTGTGTGTGTGTGTGTGTGTGTGGAGGGTGGCAGGGGGCAGTAGGACACTTGACATAGAACAAGTCATCATCAATCATCGTAACAAAAATGTTTTAATGACATGTGCACAAGTACCTGAACATCAAGACATCGATGGTTGCTGCCCAAGATTTTCAAGCACTTGGAAATGTAGATAGGCGCTTCATCAGCTTGGAAGTTTAAAAATCGAAACTTTAAAGTCCATCATCATCTTGAAGATTACAACGCGGAGATAAGTTTGTCGACAATTTCGTTGAATGACTGACAGAGTTCAGAGTCAGGAAACTTCTCTGCATAATTTTCGCCACGATCCATACACTGGGTCAAGCGTTCGTCGAACAGCAATTTACCTGAAAATCAAACTACAGTAAAACACTCAAAATTCAAATTTCCATTACCTAGAAAGGGTATCTTCGCATATTCCGCCAACTGAGTTCCTGCTCCGGAAGAAAAAATATTAATACACTCAGTGCAGTGAGGGCAAAGGTAGCCACTCATGTTCTCGATTATGCCCAACATGTTGATTCCGGTCTTACGGCAAAAAGTGATCTCCCGCCGTACATCTGCTATTGCAACAGCCTAAAAAGAACGTAACCTAAATTTCAAACATGGTCACTGAAAAACATAACTTAATATGTGCTTTTAGTGGATTATTGAAACTAATGGTTGATGTGTTATTGACTCAAATGGCCTGCTAATACTCTAGAATCAAGTAGATGTAACAACCTAGCAATATTATAATATTGTATCCGTACTGTAACACTGGCGTAAACCCAAACTTAGGTGGCCCTAAACGAACAACCCAAAAGGAACAGATGCTCATCTTTAAAAGCCAAATTGTTAAAATAGCATCTTCTTCCATCAATAATGGATTTCACGGACAATACGCTATTGGCTGAATCCAGACGCGTAATCAGTCACATAAACAAGCCACCGTTTCACAGTGTTTGAATAACGTCCTACACCACAGTAGCTTCATAAGCGTATAACTCACCCACAACTGAGTCTGTCCACCTATTCTTACTAATCATGAAACAGTAACGGTAAAGTACAATATGTACTGAAATCTGACGTTGAAACTTAGTACATACAAGAAATTCCAGCACACGAACCCATACTTAAAAACTAATTGTAAAAAATAAAGGAACACTGAAAATCCCAGTGTGCATCATAACAGCGAATTATACTTCCTTCGTACCAAACATCAGATGGTGTTATCGTTGCGATTTCCTGCCTCTAGAGGCATAGAGTTTAATCTAGGCAGTTAACAGCCTCAAACGATTTTAGTACCTGCACCACATTTAGTAAGAAATGAATAAAATAATATCATTCGGTCAGTCGTTCATTCGGTGTCTTTCAGTGAGTGAGTTAGATAGGCAACTAAAAATGTAGCCCAGGAATTAACTCAGTCCAGCAATCATTCAGTTCAGCTTGTAATAAATAAGAATGCCATTCTTAAATAAGAATATTTTTAAAAAGTAACTGCTCTCAAGGTAAGATATTCGTTGCAACTGTAAGTCAATGAGCTCCGCAACAGATATCTAAGCCAAATCTGAAGCAACTGTCTCAGCTTTCTCTTAACTCTCTCAAATAAGAGAGTTAAGAGAAAACAGCATATAATAAGATTTATTAATTAATTAATACCGCAAAAAATAAAATGGTCAAACTTATGATTGATAAAAACCAGCGTTTTAGTGCGTATCTCACGTTCTTTCTTCGAGGTAGATAGACTTCAGAGATTATTCTAGCTATCCGCAGCGGCTGGTAGGTTTGCAACCAGAAAGCGAACTGCCAAATAACTTCTCAATTTCATCATTCTCACCACAAATGACCCTGTTAAAAAAACCATACAGACAGGGAAACTGCCGTTCTGATTCACAAAGAATAGCATCTGTTGTCAAAGACAGTCAATGAATAATACTACTATTTATGACCTGAAGACCTGGGCGTTAAGTCCAGTAGAGATTTAGCCAGAGAGGCAGGATTATTGATTGCGTTAAGCTGTTTCACACACCATTTGCATTGTTATGTTTAGATTTTGCCGGACACCGGGTCAAGTAATGCAAATGTGATTACAATCATAGAGAGAACTACACAGAAAGTAGATACAGTGTCCAAGATACCTGTGGCGTTGTGACGATGACAGCGCCGCGGGATTCCATGTCTTTAATAGCATTCAGAACAGCCATGTGTTCATCGCTAGTTCCGGGTGGTGTGTCGATGACCAAATATTCAATGTCCCCCCACAGTACTTTGGATAATAGCTGGGAGATCATGACTGAAAAAGAAAGAAGGCGCTAAAATGAGTCATTGGAAAGGACAAATCCTTACATGTTTTTTTCGGTCCTCTCCAAATGACTGGATCCATGTTTGTTTCCAGCATAAGTGCCAAAGACATAACGGCCAGGTTATTGTTGTGATCCGGGTGCACAGGAGCCCACCTAAAAAGTAAACGTGCATCCGATTACATGTACACCGCGGACCCGATGTCCAACACTGAGACCGCACCCTTGAGGAAGCTCCTGAACCGTCTTGTGGTCAATCGACAAAATAGCCGCAACACTAGGTCCACAGAAATCAGCGTCCAACAGGCCAACTTTATGCCCTCGAGAAGCCAGAGTCAACGC